GTAAACAGATCTTTTTAAAAGTATGTTAATCCTTTTAATTGTTGGGTACTTGCCTAATGACATGATTTAGAAATGCAAGTGAAAAAAATATAAGTATGTAAAAGAAGGCATATGATAATTTTACATGTAATATAGAGGTGCTACTTTTTGATGTTTTAAAATTAATTTTCCCCCCAAATTTTTTCCCTCATGGGATATGAGATACACTGGTCTTTAAAAATGTGCTCTTTTTGGGGTGCCTGGATGGCTCAGTCGGTTGAGCATCCAACATCAGCTCTGGTCATGATCTCACAATCCATGAGTTTGAGCCCCGCTTTGGGCTCCATGCTGACAGCTTGGAGGCTGGAGCCTGCTTCAGATTCTGTGTCTCCCTCTCTCTCTATGCCTCTCTCCTGCCCCCACACACACACACACTCTCTCTCTCAAAAATAAAATAAAAACATTTTTTAAAAATGTAAAAAAAAAGTGCTATTCTTAATTGTCCTTCTCTATTCCTTCAATTACTATAATTTTACAATAACATCAAAAAAATAATTAGAAAAGTCATATAATTATGCTGCTGTCACTGACCTCTGATGCATTCTTTTTATTTTATGGGAGGAAATAGGTCCCCAATATAGTTTGTACAAAGTTACATAGATACAACCCAACCAGCATCAAAATGGAGTTCACTTTGTTTTATATGAATGCTCTTTTCCATATTGAAATTATATTTTCCCAGTGTTAGTCCATGTTCCCTAAATTATAGTCGAATGTATACCAAGTTACAATAATCATCTGTATTGGACACATCTCCTTTGATTTTCTTGATGGTACAGTCTCTTGGCTCCTCTGCCCCAGTCTTCACAGCAAGAAGACAGTAAGTCACAAATAACACTGCATTTCTAGAAGGATTGTAGATGTTAGTGTCAGCATCAAAGACGTTTAAGAATGCAGAGGTTGAGTTCCCTATCATATCCCTATTCAGTTTACATACCTGTCTAGTCCCTGCAAAAACTAGATGGATCGTAGCCAATTACTATGGATTAGCATCACCTTAACCAGATGACCGTATTAAACCAAGTTGATACGCCAGCTGTGGTATTGTTACTGCTGCAAACAGCCACATTCAGAGATCCAGGTGAGTGGGCACTGTCAGCTGGGGCTCCGAGGCAGGTAGCAGGGTCCCAAGGGCAGGCTACTACTTGAGACTTGACCAGGAGGTTGATCAGCACTAACTAAACGCAGCCATTGGGGTAGGGCAGCAATTTGCCCACTGGAACCAGTCTACAAAGTACCAGAATAGAGACACCGACGCTGTGGAGCCCGGTACTGTGAGGTCAATAATTTACCCATACAAAATCCAGATTCCTCTGCAAAGGCTCTTATTATTGGGAAGATTTTTAAGCCACGGAGAAACAATTTACCTTTTTAAAAAAAAATTTTTTTTAATGTCTATTTATTTTTGAGAGACAGAGACACAGTGAGAGCAGGGGAGGGGCAAGGGAGGGGCAGAGGGAGACACAGAATCCAAAGCAAGCTCCAGCCTCTTAGCTGACAGCACAGAGCCCTAGGCAGGGCTTGAGAACTCATGGACCACGACGAGATGGTGACCTGAGCAGAATTTGTATGTTTAACCGACTGAGCCACCCGGGTGCCCCAAAACAATTTACCTTTTACAAAAAAAAGTCATTTTAGCAACACTATGGAAGCTGGAGCCAGAAAGGGAAAGGGAGGCAGGCAAGCCAGGGAGACCCCCAAAGGCAAGAAGGCCAGTGAGGAGCTGTTAAAATAGATCTGAAGGGAAGAAATGAGCATCTGTGTGGTTCTGTGTTTTTAAACTGGGATTCTCCCAGCCCAATCCTGAGCGAGATTCTCCAGGAATCCCAGCCCTGTCTCTGGCACCCATCCTCTCCACCCTCACTCTTTCTCTGGTGTTGTCCAGAGGCAGATTGACCTAACATTTGCAAGACCTGGGGAACTGACCCTGTGCAGCCAACCTCTGAGCCTCTCAAGTGTGTCACAATCTATGCCCTTCTCCCTTTTTGCTAAACCCAGAACAGGGCAGTGTTTCCTCACATGAGGTACACTGGTCATCTGTTTCAGAAGTACCCTGGAGGCTTGTTAAAAATTCCTGTTTCGAATGAAATCTTGCCATTTGCAACTATGCGGATGGAACTGGAGGGTATTATGCTAAGTGAAATGAGTCAGTCAGAGAAAGACAAAAATCATATGACTTCACTCATATGAGGACTTTAAGAGACAAAACAGATGAACATAAGGGAAGGGAAACAAAAATAATATAAAAACAGGGAGGGGGACAAAACAAAAGAGACTCATAAATATGGGGAACAAACAGGCTGAGGGGTTGTGGAAGGGGGATGGGTTAAATGGGTAAGGGACATTAAGGAATCTACTGAAATCATTGCTTCACTATATGCTAACTAATTTGGATGTAAATTTTAAAAAATAAAAAATAAAGTTAAAAAGTAAATTCCGGTTTCGAGACCCATCCCAGCAATCAGAATCCCTTGCAGTTGAACATCAAATCTGCACTATTTGCAATATCCCCAGGGGATACTGAGTTTGAGAACCCCTGCAAGAGACCACTAGACAAGTAATTCTTAAACTTGACTAATCATCTGACTGGCTTGAGGAACTTTTGTTTTTCAAAGTTTATTTTTAATTTGAGAGAGAAAGAGAGAGAGAGAGAGCACAAGCAGGGGAGAGGCAGAGAGAGGGAGAGAGAGAATAACAAGAAGGCTCTACACTGTCAGCAGAGAGCCCAACATGGGGCTCAATCCCACAGACTGTGAAATCATGGCCTAAGCTGAAATCAAGAGTCCAACACTTAACCAACTGATGCCCTAGGCTTGGAAAACTTTTTAAAAAATGGTCTGAGTCACCATCCCTCCAGAAATCTGAAGGTCTAGGATTGAGTAGGAAGTCCTGACACAGCAAAAGCCTTCCCAAGGGTTGGACACTAATCCTATTTGGGAAACATAGCCTATATCACCTTCCTGGTTACTTAAACTTCTGCTGCTAGGGTAAATGAAATAATTAGTCACAAGGCCTTCCTGGTATAATTACAAAGGGATAGCTGACTTGCCATTTTATTGAGTTGAATTACTCTTTTTGAAAACAAAGAGACTAAGATGAGAGAGGAAAGGTCACCCTCACAATTTACTGCTAATAGGAGATGGCCTTGAGAAGGGAGCGCTACCTGTGACCATGGCATTCCTGAACTTGATGCATTACAAAGTGCGAACTATGCAGAAAGCTGCCTGATTCGGGACAAAGAGTTACCTTGGATCTAATCACTTGCATCAGAGCCTTTTCTAGCTCCTATCTCATTTCTCTCCGAAATTTAGGGAACTCCCTTTAACCATGTAATACTTGCGCTTCCAGTTGAGAAAGCAAGGATCATCATATTTTCACTTGCTCATCAGCCAGGAGGTGTGAAGTTTCTCCGGCGTGAAAAAGACCAAATTCAATAATGGACTTGTTTGGGATGGGAAGAAAACTGGGGTGGGAAAAGAACTTTGGAATAATTAAATAATAATTATAAATTTAGAGATCAAAGTGAAAAAATGGATCCTGTATCTTGTCTACTGTATCAGAACCCAGGTCTAATGACTGTAGTAGAGATAGTTTCTGTGACTTAAAATGAGATTTAAAGAGTTAAAGGAGAGAGAAAGTACTACAGAAACAGAACATTGTGCCATTAGTTATCACTAGAAGTGGGTCTGGCCTCACTACTTACTTTTTCTTGGTTTAATGAATGCCCCTGGGATTGCCTGTTAAAGCTCGCTGCTCTGTCAGGAACCCTGTTGAACATTGGAGGGAAATTTTACTGGTCTCCAAATGATGAAAAGGTGCTCTCAGAAAATTTTTCAAAGGAGTAATGGTAACCTCTGAAAAATTTTGCTTTAATTTACAATGACTGAACAAGTGGGCAGTCTTCCAGCAAGAGATCTTTTAAGAGCTTGCAAGTACAAAAGAGGGTGAGCCTTTTGCCTGCTGTAAAATGTGAGCCTCTTTGTAATCCCTATTGTTTAAGCATTCATGTAAACAGACTAGCCCAAGAACACCCAAGAACTATCCTTTCTACCTCCAGGAAGGTAAAGAGGAGAATTTATTTTGAAGCATAATAGGGCTGCCAATAATAGGGCTGCCCACCCACTTGGCCTGGAAATTCCAGAAAAGTCTTCAAAAAGAAAAACCCCGCTGCCATCTAGAAGTAGTTAGTCCATTATTGTTAGAGAAGGACCAGTTCATTCAGTCAAGAAAGATTTCACTGAGAACATGTGACTCGAGCTGAGTATTGCAGGCTAACACAGGTTTGCCAGATACAGGAAGAAGGGAAGAAAAAGCATTCTAAGGAGTGTTAATAGGCAAGTATATGTGGTGATTGTAACGCTTTATTTTTTTAATGTTTATTTATTTATTTTGAGAGAGAGAGAAAGAGAGAGAGACAATCCTAAGCAGGGTCCACACTGTCAGCACAGAACCCGAGGCTCAACCAACTGAACCACCAGGCACTCTTACATGTGGTGATCTTAAAAATAACAAAACAAAAAGTATATGTTTTAGTGCCAAAAGTCAAGGGAGGAGGTGGAGGTGAATGCATAAGGCATCGGTGTTGGCAGGGGTGGTCATCTGAGAGGGTGGATGTGGAGCTATAGATCATGTGAAGGCATTTGTCAGCAAAAGAAAAGTCATGAAGTTGTGAAATCAGATTCAAGTTTCAATGAGGTGATTCAAGTTGCAGAGTGGCCTGGTTTAAGGAGTGGCTAGCAATTGTAACTAGACCATTAGAAGGTGAATGCAGTTAATACTAATTAAGAATGAAGGACAGGGTGAATTAAGATGGGGATAAAGGGAGGTGCACCTGGGTGGCACAGTTGGTTGAGCATCCAACTCATGGTTTTGACTCAGGTCATGTTCTCATGGCTTCGTGGGTTCAAGTCCTGCATCGGGTTCTGTGCTGACAGTGTGGAGCCTGTTCGGTCGGGATTCTCTCCCTCCCTCTCTCTGCCCCTTCCCCACTTGTGCTGTCTCTGTCTAAAAAAAAAGCGGGGGGGGGATAAAGAGCCCCCAGAAGTGAAAGCGATTTGGCCAGGATCACATGGAGAGGCTTTCTTGATCTGTAGTCCTATGGTTTTCCATACCCCACTGTCTTTACTACTGTGTCATTGTTTATTGTCATTTGCTTTTTGCAAAAATAAGTGTCCTGTTATGTTCTGTTCCCACATGGCTAATAGCAGCCTCCCTTCTCTAGAATACCATTGCACTAATCACACCCTGATTTGCACTATTTGTAAACCTGGTTTTTGTTTGTTTTTTTGCTTAGTTTGGATACCATTCATTTATTATAAAGGAGGCATGAAAATTATTTACATGATGAAAGATTTCACAGCCTCAGTGGAATGGGCAGCTTCATGTGATGCCATTCAATAATGATTTATTTCAATCTACATACTTTCCGAGAATGTCACCATCTCTAAGTAAGAAATAGTCCTTGTCATCTAGAACTACTTTGGTGCCTCCATATTCTGGCAAAAGAACTTTATCTCCAACTTTCACGCTAACTGGCTGAATCTCTCCACCCTTTCTTTTAGAGCCTGGTTCAACAGTTACTACTACTTTTCCTTGAGATTTTTCTGGAAGCATAATGCCTCCTTTGGTAACAGTTTCAGCTGCACTCTTTTCAACTAAAAATCGGTCAAAGAGGGAAGTAAACTTTCTAAACGCCTGTCCTGTCATGACTTCAGACACTGTAATTTGTTGTAAACTTCTTTTACATAGGATTCCTTCACTGCTTCAAACCTAGCTTTGAATGTAGCTGCCTATCACTATGCTTAAGGTCCCAAAAAGTACATTATGTGAAGCCAAACATACATTCTCCTTATCCACCCTGACTATCATGACTTCCACCCTAATGAGATAAACCACAAAATGCAGAAACTTCAAAAAGACCCATTACTTCCCCCAAACAACCTGATATTAAAGAAGATATACCAGCAACTCTGTATTTCCTTTCCTGGGCCTCTACCATGGCCTTTTTAAAAGTTTCCCAACGTGTTGTATTTCCCAAGAAGACACACAAGTCCCCAAACAAGTTGGGGCACACAAGTCCCTACAGAGGAAGAGGAAAAATTGAGGTAGCAAAAGTAATAAAACATTCCTGATTCTTTTCAACCTCCTATTAACTGTTCCATGTCTTAACCTTGGAGAAGGGGACAGTCAAGGCTTTGCTTTTTGGTGGCTACACTCTCTGATCAATGTCAGGGACCATAAAATGATAGGAATGAAGAAACTGGAAAGGTATAAGTCTTTTGCCATAGGACTTTTGCCTTCTTGAGAGCAGGGCTGAGGACTCTTTTTCTCTAACTGCTACAATGGCTTACTTATAGTAGATATACAATAGTATTAAATAAAGTGATCCTTTTTATAATTTTTCAAAAATCTGTGTTGGTCTTCATAGTTTAAGAGAATTTCCACTTTCCTTTTGTCTTTTCCGTAATCATGGAACATAATCAGTAGAAGTCTTATTGGCCCCATCATTTAGCTGATAATTCTAAAATATGGGTTGAAATGCTTATACAAGCACCAATAGGCAGTAAATGGCTAGCCAGGACTCAGACCCAGGGTTTTAACTTGGTATTCTACTTTCTTCTACATTCTCAGGTCTTCTGCAGGACCCTTATCGTGACAGTTGTATTAAGGATCCTGGACCCACATATATGTCAATTTTTTCAAATTCCCAAGCAGTGATGGCAGGTCTCCATTTTCTGGTTGCGAAAGCATTTTTTCGAGAACTAGGAAAATGGGTAAAAGAATGCCAGTGATGGGATAAACCCTTGTTGTTCATCTATCCAGAGTTGATGAAAACTTATTAGGATTAGTCTTAAAATAGGAATATGGCATAGGGTGTTCCCTGAGTACCTATTATATCAAAGCACCACCACCGCCCAAGTGAGGTTCCCAAATCTGGGGACCCTCTGAAGGTATTATAAAAAAAGGGCCCCCCCGGGGCCCCCCCCCCCCCCCCCCCCGCCAACTGAGTCAGACTCCCTGGAATTTGAGTCCCAAAATCTACATGTTTAAAAATACCTCTGGAAGTTTGGGAAAAAAAAAATCACTGGACTAAGGACTTAGTCACCTCCTTTGACCTCTCCAGATATTTTGGCCTCAGATGTTTTATCTGCAAGATGGGATAATAAGACCTTACTTCCCTAAAGCTAGGAGGCTAGATCTGATTAGTTCTTCCTGTCCTTTATGTTTGTAAAATTTGCAATTCAGCTATTTATGTTTCTCATCAATCATACTGATGACTCATTGCTGCCTCCCTATGGTTACACCATTGCCTCCTCCCAGTTCCCTTCTCCAAGCCCTTCTCTCATTTATGATCCATCACCTCCTTGAAACTGTTCCCAACTGCTCCCACCCTGAGTTTACTCACTTCTCTTCTCTGAGCCCTTGAAGCATTTGTGATCCCAGCACTCACTTCACCAAGGAAGCCATTGCTTTGTGGTGACAACCTTTCTGTGTTAGGACTCCCAGCTGGGTATGGACTGTCTTTGTTGATGACAGTTATGTTGACCAACACTATGTAAACTATTATTTTAAAACAGTTTTATAATTTCTTTAGTATGCATGTTCAATAATCATGACATAGGTCTTCTGAAAAATCTGCTATGCACAGATTTCAAGTTCAGTCTCTAATAGATATGAAATCAGGAATTTGGCTTTCATTACCTAAATGCAGTTAACTCTCCTCCCATGTCTACGTCTTTAGACTTTTCAATTCAGGAAGAGTATAAAGCATTTCCTAAAAACAAGATTTTAATTAAACTGCAAAAGAATTTTTTTTAAAAAACCATGTTGAAATAACCAATCTCTGGCTTACAAGGGAAATAAACATGCTGGAAAGATAATGTAGAGCATAAAAAGATGGATGTAATCAGCTCTTGCCAAGGTGCCCAGGGATGGATATGAATGCAGTAAGTTATGTTTTGACATTGAAGCATGTAGTATTCAACTTCATCATAAAACACCACCTTCTGTTTAAATCAGGGCTATCGTTAAATTATATCCAAAGCCCCTTTTCAAAAATCCTCTTAATTCAGAATTGCAATAAATAACTAGTCCCTGGTCTTAAAGTTGATACAAGATAATGCTTAAATATTATCTAATTGCCAGCTTATAAGGTCCTTGTTTATTTTTAATGTGCTCTTCTCTTTTTTAAACTTTTCAACTTTGTGGCATTAAGATTTGAAATTAGGAAGAGAAAACTAATCTCCTGAATTAAATAGGCAATTGCATAGAGAAATTCACTGGAGACTGGTGATGCCAAGGGGGAGCCCAGACTTGTGTGCTCGCATTTTCAGGATGAGCCCCAGTGTCTCTCCAACAGTTCTCTACATGTTGCTGTACTTCTCATTCAAGGTACACAAGTGTGGCAGGCAGAAAGGAATCTCATAAATCTCCCTAAAAGATCACTGCTTTCCAATGGCCCACCATTAACTTAACTTTACCCTTTTCTATAATTGTTTAATAACTAAATATTAATGAAATTTGCAATTGCAAATTATTATTTGATCCCATGATAGGTTTCCTTGACCATCTATGTGATATTGTTTGAGTGTTCTAGAGTATGTTCTGTAGGAAAGGAAACTAGGAAAGGGTGGAGATTGGGGAACAAATGGGGAGCTGAGAGAGCAAGTGACATTAGAAATATTCCATTGGTCATAATTTATCAAATAACTAGAAAACAATCAAAAGGTTACATCTAGCAGCATTGTTCTTTAGGGAGTTTGCTAGAATTCATCATCATAAAAAAGTACTGGAACCAAAGTTTAGTGATGAATGAATCCACCAAGCAATCGCAAATATATCGAAAATCTATGGATCAATGCAGGGAAGCATAATGACCTTCATGGACCACTTTTTGCTTTCATAAGTCCCTCCCATCATAACAATATTAATAGTAATATTATTTTATATAGAGACACCTGGGTGATTCAGTTGGTTAAGTGTCTAATCTATTTCCACTCAGGTCATGATCTCACAGTTGTGAGATCAAGCCCTGTATTGGATTCTGTGCTGGGCATGGAGCCTGCTTAAGATTCTCTCTCTCCCTCTCTCTCTCTCTCTCTCTCTCTCTCTCTCTCCGTCCCTCCCCCACTCTTTCTAAAAAAATATTTTATACAATTTTAAATATTTCAATATTTAAGTTTTTCTGTTTTAGGCAAAATTCAATAGATCTTTATGGGGCCTAAAAATGGGCTCTTTTTTCTGTAATATGAAAAACAAATTAAAACATGTGTCTAACCCTAAAAATTCTTCTTTAATAAAAAAGAAGTTCTGGGGCGCCTGGGTGGCGCAGTCGGTTAAGCGTCCGACTTCAGCCAGGTCACGATCTCGCGGTCCGTGAGTTTGAGCCCCGCTTCAGGCTCTGAGCTGATGGCTCAGAGCCTGGAGCCTGTTTCCGATTCTGTGTCTTCCTCTCTCTCTGCCCCTCCCCTGTTCATGCTCTGTCTCTCTCTGTCCCAAAAATAAATAAACGTTGAAAAAAAAAATAAAAAATAAAAAAAAAAAAGAAAAAAGAAGTTCTGTTTCTTATAATTTTAAAAGAAATTAAAATATTTTCACGGATCTCTAAAAATATTGTGGGCACATACACTGTGCTATTGTGCCTGATAAGTTAGCCCTGAATCCATAAAGGCAATAATTGGTTTGAAGTGAAATAGGTCGTTTCCACTCTGAACTTTCATTTGTCAGATTTTACCTGGTACTAAAACCCTCTCCATGATAGGTACTTAGTGGTATATCTCTAGTCAAGAGAGGTCTGAAATAATATCTTCTCTGTATACCTGCTTATAGGGTTAGTCCTTCTAACTAGTAGGAAGTCTCAAATCCAGTCTAACTTTTATATACTAACCTGAACTGGGAAAGTGTATTTATGGCACTGGACTGAAGCTATTTTCCAATATCCTCTGACTCAACTAACTTGCATACATTCTTAGGATATTTGACCAATAATTATATTTCTCACAGGCCTTAGAGACCTGCTAAAACTTTCAATGACTGATATTAATTAATTGAATTTAGTGACTGAACTAAGAATTGGTGATGATGATGATGGTCATGATGATGACTAAAATTATTGTCTAAGAAAATGATGTTTTCTTATATATGCTTGTTTATTCAAGAAAGAAATACAACTATGTGAATTTTGGTTTAGTTTCTTCCCCAGAGTTAATATACTTAACTGGCTCTGCTTGTCACTTAATAGTGTTTTTCCTATCCCCAAAAGAGTGAAAAGTCATAAAATAAAATTTTTTTTTCCAAATACACTGATCTAACAATAAATAAATTAACTTCAGAATTAAATTGAGGGGTGCCTTGGTGGCTCAGTAAGTTGAGTCCGACTTTGCCTCAGGTCATGGTCTTACAGTTCATGAGTTCAAGCCCTATGTCAGACTCTGTGCTGGCGGCTCAGAGCCTGGAGCCTGCTTCAAAGTCTGTGTCTCCCTCTCTCTGCCCCTCCCCAGCTCATGCTCTCTCTCTCAAAAATAACTAAACAGTAAAAAATGTTTTAATTGAAATTGTAAGAAGAATACAATGTATTATAAAGGGCACAGGAGAAAAAAAGAGAGAGAGAGAGCACAGGGAATCAAGAAGTTTTAGCCCTGAGGCACCTGGGTGGCTCAGTCAGTTAAGCCTCCAACTCTTGATTTCAGCTCAGGTCATGATCTCATCATTCTTGAGTTTCAGCCCCACATTGGGCTCAACACTTGACAGTGCAGAGTCTGCTTAGGATTCTCTCTCTCTCTCTCTCTCTTGCTCTCGCTCACTCTCGCTCTCTTCCGCTCCCTGCTTGTATTCTCTTCCTCTCTCAAAATGAAAAAACTTAAAAAAAAAAAAAAAAAAAACTAAGAAAAAAAAAAGCTTTAGCCCTACTTCTGCCCTTTACAGAGATTTTGGGAAATTGAGATGCCTTCTCTGCATTTTAGAAATTGAGAAGAACTAGAGATTCCCCCACACCTTTTCTAATGCTAAAGTTCTGTGAAAGCAACAAAAATTTTATAATCTCTAATCAATAAAAGCACTTATTTCAATACTGTGCTTATTTATGTGTACCTAAATTGCAAACTCTTAAAAATGCAGGTTCCGAGGCCTTGATCCCTGCCCCTACCCACTTCAGATGCTTTTACTTTTATTTTTTTTCTTGGTAGATGTTCTGCTGTTTAATAGGCACCTGCGCTGAGAAATACTAGTCTAGATAATAGAATTATAAAAGTTTCCATTTTGCCAGAGTTTTAGCCTATGTCCTAATTAACAAAGATCTATGTTGAAAAAATTAATCTCATTAAGATGTCAGGAGGAAAGCAAGGTACTAACTATTGTGACATTGCAAAGGGCTAAGGGAATGAATCAAGTTCAACACTAAAGT